GGGGGGGCGGGAACCGGGGGTTGGGGGGGCTCCGACCCCGCGGGGGGGAGCGCCGCCGCGCTTCCCAAGCGGCACACTATCCAGTGCGCCACCGGGCCGGCCCAGAGCTGGTTCTTTTAATGTTGCCTTGTTTCTCTTGTACCCGGTTGTCTTTTACTGTTTGCTGGTTATTGTACATGGAAAATTATTCATGGAGATTCCCCTAGGGCTGGGAAGAATGCCACCTCCTCCACAAAGCCTTTAAGTTTATTTCTTTTAGGCACCTGGGGCCCCTACTAGTTAGGTTTGAGGTTCAAGGCTTGAGAAATTCCCTGACTCATCCGAGCTATGAGAACCTAGTATGGTCAATCTAAGGCCATGGCATTTTTACCCCTTTTTTCTTTATTTCTGATGCTCTTCTCAGGGCTAAGGAATTTTCTTTATGGTTGCCTGAGGTTGGAGAGATGGAGAGGCTGTTTCTGGTTCACTTTACCATGAAGTAATTGGGAGAGTGCAGTGTAGAGAAAGAACAGTGATTCCAGGTAAGCCCTTGAAATGTGGAGTGTGAAAATGCCCTCAGGGCAGAGATGGCCTGGGCCAGCTGAAATTACTATTTTGCCCTTTTATTCATTAACCTAGAAATTATAACATGCATACTTAACTTGAGTTAAAATCTTTACCTTCTAAAATCAGAACAAGAACCTCAAAACATTAAGAAATTGATCTCTTAAATTGTTATTTTCCATATTTGTTTTAGTTCTACCTATTTTAAAAGAAGGACTTGTAGGATGCTTTTATAGGACTTCTGGTGTTCAGTTTACCTGCCTCCTCTGTTTATCATTCCTTTTTGAATTCTTGACCTTTCATCTGGAATCACTTCTTTAATATTGGATTAGAGTTTATAAAATTCCTTTCGTAAGGGTCTTCTTGGTTAATACAGACGGTTATTTCCACTCATTGCACTGAAGATATTGTGTTGTCTTGGGGCTTCCTTTGTTGCTGTTGAGAATTTGGTAGCAGTTGAATTCTTGTCTTCCAGTGGCCTTTTTTATTCTGGTTTTAAGATTCTTTCTTTGGGGGGCCGGCCCGGTGGCGCACTGCTACAGTGCGCCACTTGGGAGCGCAGTGGCACTCCTGCCGAGGGTTTGGATCCCACATACAGAATGGTGGCTCACTGGCTGAGTGAGGTGCGGGCGCAACACCGAGGGTTGCGATCCCGTTGCTGGTCCTGGTCCGGTACGGGCGCGACACAGAGGGTTGCGATCCGTTGCTGGTCACGAAAAAAGACAAAAAGGAAAAAAAAAAAAGATTCTTTCTTTGGTTTTGGGGTTTTACAGAGTCACTGTGACTGGTTTTGGTTGGATTTTTAATTATTTGTCATCCTCACCTAGGGCATTTGAAAATTTCCCAACCACTATCTCTTTTTCTCTTCCTCATTCTTTCCCCTCTTCTTCTAGAATTCCAGTAGATGTGTATTAGGCTTTCTCACTCTTCATGTCTCCTAACTCGTAGTTGCTCTGTCCTGCATTCTGCACAATTCTTCAGCTCTACCTTCCACTTCATTATTTCTCTATTCAGGTGAACCTCATCTGCAGTTGTCTTCTATAGAGTTTTGACTCTCAATTGCTGTAATTTTCATTTCTGGAAGTTCATATTGGTTCTTTATCATCTGATTTTTGTTTTCTATGATCTCTTATTCCTTACTTTCAATCCCATCATTTAGTTCTTTAAATATACTTAAAGTTTTATTTATTTGCTATTTCTCAACTGGGGTGAAGTCTTCATGTATTTGGTTTTGTCTGTTTGCTGCCTCAGTTATAGTGACTTACGTCCTTTTCTTTTGTCTGTTGGGGAGGGGGTGTGGTTGACTTAACTCATTCCTTAGAACGGTCATTCATGGGCCAGCCCGGCGGTACACTGGATAGTGCGCCGCTTTGGAGCGTGGAGGCGCTCCCGCCGAGGGTTCAGATCCCATGTGGAGACCGGTTCCCGCTCGCTGGTTGAGCGCGGTGCGGGCGCAGCACTGAGGGTTGCGATCCCGTTGCTGGTCCCCGGTGCGGGCGCGACACCGAGGGTTGTGATCCCGTTACCGGTCAGTAAAAAAGACAAAAAAGGAAAAAAAAAAAAACTGTCATTCATCCCAGTACCACATCAAACAAAAATCTTGGCTTGAGGTTTTTGTGACTTCCTAGGTATTGTGAATTCATTGTAGAAATCTTCATGAGGTTGCAGTGGAGATTTGTTTTTTTCTTACCCCGAAGTGTCAAAGTAAGTATAAGGCAGATAATTTTTCCCTACTGTTTTCCTGTGGAGGGCAAGTTCATTTCTGTTATCTCTTAAACTGAAGAACTCTACTTTCAAAGAAAATGTGGGGGGGGTGTGTGTGTGTGTGTGTG